GCCAAATTTCGTGGAAATCGAAAGACATTTAGAAATTTAGGTACACCATTTTTCTTAAATCGCACGAATATATAAATGGGAGCTATATCTAAATCTTAAACGATTTTCAGGAAACTTAACACACAACATTCTAGACTTTATTCAGTACGCTATGCCAAATTTCGTGCAAATCGAAAGATATTTAGGGCCTTTGTTCCACCATTTACCTTAAATCGGACGAAAATATATATGGGAGCTATATCTAAATCGGAACCGATTTTCACGAAACTTAACACACAAATTCTAGACTTTATTCAGTACGCTATGCCAAATTTCGTGCAAATCGAAAGATATTTAGCATAAATCGACGTAAAAAGAGATTCTATGCATGTTCTCAAAAGGTACCATGTGCCTATCTCGTTTCCTTTTGCCTGTTACAAACATATGCACAAAGACTTAATACCCTGTACCACAGTGTGGTGAAGGGTACAAAAATCAAAACCCAAAATCTAAAGACATAATCCAAATAATGAATAACAATAATATCTTGTTAGTCGCATGCATAATTAATACAAAACATTTAAATTTATTATCTCGAAAAAATCTGGTTTTTGAACTTTGACAGTGTGTAAAGGGATGCCGGTGTTCGAGACTGCTGAGGTTTACCTTCCTCTAACGTCATAAATGTTTGCTAAATAATATTTAAATAAATAAAATCGTATTTATTATTTTAAACAAAAACTAACAAACAAACATGTCCATGTGATAATAAAACCATAGGTGAACCCGACTGCCTTTGGGTACATTTTTAACGTACACATTTTGTGACCCTAATTAGTTAGCATCATCATCATCATAGTAATCATAAAATTAACAGTGTTGTGCATCGAGCATTAAATGTGAACTTTGCCATAAAGGCCATTAAGCTATTTAGCATGACATTTTTATGGGGCCGAGTTTATTCGGATTAGATATATTATTAAAATATTTTGTAGTAGAATATATTTAGTTGGTGATAGTCACAACATTATTAATTAGATTATTGTCAGCGTATTGGCGATGTGGATATTAATATACTTTAAATTAAAAGTGAAAATGTTATGTTAATTTTCACACAAATTCTGTAAATAACAGCTGGCTACTTCCAGTTATGATGTAATAACGGCCATAAATCATGCGTAAAGTTCCGAAATAACCTCAAATAAACTATTATATGAGTCGTTTATTTTGAAAGTGGTTTAAGTCCATTTTAGGTTCTCATATAAATCTAGATTTAAAGTTTACAATCCATATGACATATACCTATTGTTAACATGCCATTGACTACTGTATTTATTATTAGTTAATTTCATGTTAAAATGTGTAAAACAATATGACGTCATTTAACAAACCTAAACAAAGAGATATATCTATGTAAAACATTTGTAAAGACTTACAAGCGCTTTACACTGATGTGTCTTCTGGTTTGTTAAGCTTACGTAGATACCGGTTTAAACTCAAAATGCGCTAGACGTTGAAATTATTAATTATAGTTTCTTAATTAAGTTTAGGGAGTTGTTAGACTCCAACCGGGTGCGTCCCCAGGTGGCGGATAGGGGGGGGTGGATGATCATACTAATTCATTACAACCAGCGCAGGCTGTAAGTAATAGAATAGTTTGATCACCCACCTCCAGGGCTTCTGTCCCCGCGGACCAAAACTAACTATGGGGGTGTTCCCCTAAAACAAAAAACAAAGATGGAAAAAGAAGAAGAAAGAATAAACGTTACGGTGCAGAGCCTAAATAACTCAGTACCGGCGGGTGTCGTTGATCTGCCCACGAGTCACGCCCCGTCGTCATCCAGTGATCGTGAGCAACAATCTCCTACAGATGTGGGTGTCTCGGCATCTGTAGTCGAAGGTATAGCTACAAGCACTCAGCCTTCGGGCAACACCAACTGGAAGTTAAGGAACCACAGGGGAAGAGCAATCTCGACCCAGCCTTCAGAGACAGTAGGGGACTCAACTTCGAACTCTGAGTCTGATCATGATAATCAAACAAACATAACTGTCTTGGAGAGCCGGAAGATAGATGAGGCTGACAAGATGATAGAGATGATAGGTGAGTAAAAACATCGCCAAACTCACAACTAACAGTTGTCTGGGGCCAGATTGAACCGGATAAACAAAAAGAGCGAGACACAGGCAGAAACTCAAAAGGATAAGCCTGAACTTCCCTCCACTTCTGCGTAAGCGGCGAAGAGGATAAGGTCTACGGATGAGCAGGCGACTGTCAAATCCGCCAAAAAGAAATGATAATAAGAGAAAGCTGAGCCAAACCAACGTCAAAGGAGACTGTCACGAGAATCCACTGACGAGGGCAGACGAGGCTGGCTCTGATATCAGGAAGACGAGTGCTGAGTCGGAATCTTCAGCAAAGACCGGGAATCCCAAAAGGACCAACCGGAAGTTGTGAAAGAGGACGATGACAGCAACAGATGGTAAGGAGCAGCCGTCTTTTGCCAAGATTGCCAGGAAGCGCTATCGAGACGAGCTCTGCTATGCAGTGATCGACGGAAATAGCGCGTCCGGTAAGCTAAGGAAGGAGACCCATAAAGAAGTATTAAAGATAATTAAGTACCTACTGGAAGGAGGGGACTCTATAGAAATGAATAGCTGCGAGTTCAAAGGTGATCGACAGAAATGCTGGAATTTGGAAGTCCATAAAGATGTATTAAAGAAGCAATACCAAGATAATGGAGTACCTACTGGAAGGAGGGGACCTATAGAAATGAAAGCAAGCTCAAAGGGGACTATCTAATGCTGGAATTTGGAAGTCCAAAAAGCATAGAAGCCCTGAGAAAGGTAGTGGCAAGCATTGGACCAATAGATGGAACAATGAAGCTCAAGCTGGTGAGGAAAAAAGCTCAAGGTCTTCAGCCTACAAAACAAGACGCTGCACGTGAAGAAATGGGAAGTCTTCCACAGGGAGGAAAAGGAGGAAGGGGCTCTCCTTGTGTTAGGCTTAGACAAGTCTTCAATGGCAAGTCTGGCTAAGACCAAAGGCAAGGCGTCAATGCCGTTTTCTTCAAAATCGGTAAGGCAAGGATTGGAGACGATGAAGCCAAAGAAAACAGCTAGGGGATAATTCCCAGCAACATAGAGGAGGGAGCCGATGTGAATATCACAGACTCCCAAGAAAACCGGTCACTGGAGGTCAGCTGATTGACGTCATCCAGATCAACCTCCATCGGAGCGAGACGGCAACCCTGGCCCTGATGGAGAAAATTGTAAAAGGTAAAATACACATCGGACTGATCCAGGAACCTTGGACAATTAAAAACAAGGTTTCTGGATTAAGCCATATAAATTACCATCTCTTCTATGCAAATACGGGGTCTCGTCCGAGAACCTGTATAATATGTCATAAAAATGTATGCTTTCTCTTCTCCCCAGAGTTGTCAACATCGGACGCCACTGTACTGAAACAGGGGAGTGGTAACATTTACCTGGCTTCAGTGTACCTCCCGTTCGACTCGCCGATACCACCACCAACGGCGGTGCTGCAGCGACTGGTGAAGAAAGCACAGGAAACAGGTAACGAAGTACTAATTGGTAGTGATGCTAACTCACATCATATTGCGTGGGGCAGTACAAATACTAACAATAGGGGCCCGGCCCTTTTAGATTATTTGAATACTAACGATCTGATAACACTTAACATAGGCAATAAACATACCTTTGTTAACAGAATTAGAGAGGAGGTATTATATATAACATTATGTTCAGCTAACTTAATGGACGAGGTACAGGAGTGGAGGGTCTCAGAAGAGTACTCCTTTTCTGACCACAAATATATTATGTTCGAAATCCTACGGCCACCGCCGAAACCAATACACTTCCGTAAAAAGTCCAAAACTAACTGGATAAAGTTCGGGAGACTAGTCAAGGAGAGTTTAGGGCAACCAAACTATGAATGCCTAGACACGAATGTCATAGACAGAAAGTCTATCGAAGAAAGTTGTCCCCTTCGAGAAAGGAGATCTTCATTTGAAAACCCCTGGATGACAGGGGAGATTCGGAACAAAGGAAAAGAGGTCCGAAGGCTTTACAACAGAGCACGCCATAGTATTCTGAGCACGCCGTAGTATTCTGGGACAACTTCCACGATAAACAGAAAAAATGCAATAAATTAACAAGAATCTGTCACCGCTCCTGTGGGTAACCACCATAAACGGACTCTTAAGGAACTTAACCGACGAAGGATTTGAACCAATCTGTTATGCAGACGTCGTTATAATACTTTTTAGGGGAAATAATCCAAACTTACTATGCAGGAAAGCCGAAACGGTGCTAAAAATCGCATACGATTGGGCAAAACCGAGGGGCTGAAACGTAAATCCGGACAAAATGGAACACCAAAGAACCTATATTTTGCATAGATTTTAGAATGTCATGTTTATGGGTGGATTTGAAATTGGTACATATATCTATGTATATCACTTATTTAATTTACATCGATTGCATATCGATTATGCTCTAAAGATATTATCATCTGTTCTATCGACATGACATTGCACGTATGAGCATCTCCAGTATGTGGTGATGGATATCATATAGTCTGCCCCGTCCGACATTACTGGTTTAGTTGTTTAACCACCAAAGAACCTAGCCAATTTCGGCTAATACCCTGTTTACGGGTTAGACTTAAATTGAAATCTATCTGCAATGGTTTTTTTCTTCTTTTAAAAACCCGGAATGATATAACCAACCTCTTCGGTGGGAAACTGTGGCTAAATCCTTCAAAATACCGAACATTAGAGGGAACATTTACATGGGGGAAAGACTTGAAAATCTATTGAAAAAAAAAAAAAAAATTTGTAAAGCCAAACACATTTTTTATTTTTTTCCATTTTTTAACACTTTTTATTATAAAATTAACGACTTAAACTAAATGTATGATTTGTTAAGCGAACGCTTAGGCACGACGCACGGTCTTGTAACGATAACCATCAATTTCGGGTTTCAAAAATTGCTCGGGTTCAAAAGGGTTCAACAATGGGTTCATAAATGTCCTTGGGTTCAGCAATACGCTCACCAAAGGGTTCAACAACGGGTAAATAAAAGTTCTTGGGTTCAGCAATACGCTCACCAAAGGGTCCAAAAATGTCCTTGGGTTGTTCAACAATGGGTTTAACAATGCGCTTACCAAAGGTATCAGGTCCAACATTTTTCTTGGGTTCAACAATGGGTTTAACTATGCGCTTGGGTTCAACAATGGGTTTAACTATGCGCTTGGGTTCAACAATGGGTTTAACAATGCGCTTACCAAAGGGATCAAAAATGGGTCCATCATTTTTTTTGGGTTCAACAACGGGTAAATAAAAGTTCTTGGGTTTAACAATACGCTCACCAAAGGGTCCAAAAATGTCCTTGGGTTGTTCAACAATGGGTTTAACTATGCGCTTGGGTTCAACAATGGGTTTAACTATGCGCTTGGGTTCAACAATGGGTTTAACAATACGTTCACCAAAGGGTCCAAAAATGTCCTTGGGTTGTTCAACAATGGGTTTAACAATGCGCTTGGGTTCAACAATGGGTTTAACTATGCGCTTGGGTTCAACAATGGGTTTAACAATACGCTCACCAAAGGGTCCAAAAATGTCCTTGGGTTGTTCAACAATGGGTTTAACTATGCGCTTGGGTTCAACAATGGGTTTAACAATACGCTCACCAAAGGGTCCAAAAATGTCCTTGGGTTGTTCAACAATGGGTTTAACAATGCGCTTGGGTTCAACAATGGGTTTAACTATGCGCTTGGGTTCAACAATGGGTTTAACAATACGCTCACCAAAGGGTCCAAAAATGTCCTTGGGTTGTTCAACAATGGGTTTAACTATGCGCTTGGGTTCAACAATGGGTTTAACTATGCGCTTGGGTTCAACAATGGGTTTAACAATACGCTCACCAAAGGGTCCAAAAATGTCCTTGGGTTGTTCAACAATGGGTTTAACAATGCGCTTACCAAAGGTATCAAAAATGGGTCCAACATTTTTCTTGGGTTCAACAATGGGTTTAACTATGCGCTTGGGTTCAACAATGGGTTTAACTATGCGCTTGGGTTCAGCAATGGGTTCAACAATACGCTCACCAAAGGGTCCAAAAATGTCCTTGGGTTTAGCAATACGCTCACCAAAGGGTTCAACAATAAGCTCACCAAAGGGTTCAACAATGGGTTTAACAACTTTAGGTTTTGACACATATGTGATACCGGGGCCATCTGGGCGTTTATATGTGTAGCCCAATTCGGAAACATCAGCATAGGCGCAAGCCACAAAAGCCAAAGCGGCAATTAGGAATTTCTGTAGCGGGAAATAAAAATAGTTTCAGTTAAATAAAAAAAATCCCAATCTATATTCCAATATTTAGCCTCTCTTACCATTTTGTTACGATGATTTCAAGTCAAACAGCAGACTGTGCTCTTCCCTAACAAACGATGAACTTTTATAGGTAAATTTTTGTAACCTAGAATTACTTTCATTTACATTGGAATTGTGTGTTCTATTTTGTTCTATTTGATTGACATCATCATCTTCGTCTTATGTTCTACATTTATGTTGTATTGTATTGTATTATTATTTTTTTGTTTTTTTTTTTTGCCATAAATATTTAAGCCTACAATAAACTCAATGGACCAGAACGTTTATCAAAATCCAATCCAAACCAATATTGATTTACACCTTATTATTTTTTATGGATATTCGAAAAAATGGAGCGAAAAACAGCCAAACAAAGTTTTTTCTTCACACTTCAGACTATTATTTAAATCATTCGTTGATTTATTCCGGTTAATCTTAAAAAATATTTTATTTGATTTTTTTTTTAAATATTTAAATTAAAATTATTGTTTATTTTTGAGTGTATTTTAAAAAATGTCTTATAGAAGTATCTACTATGGTTCCGCCTATTGTGTAAATTACTATGTTTATGCCCAGTCGAGAATTTCGTGTATTTTATTGCTTTGTTAAAATCTGTAATTTTAGTTTATGGTTTTTTAAGGTTAGCCACAATCTACCAAATAAGCCGAACATTAACATGGGAATCCAAGTTATTTACATGTTCCATGTTACAATGTATTATTCAAAATAACATTATATTTATACCCTTCACCACACTGTGGTACAGGGAGGGTATTATGCCTTTGTGCATATGTTAGTAACAGGCAACAGGAAACGAGATAGACACATGGTTCCTTTTGAGAATATGCATAGAATTCATTTCAGAGTTGTATGTCCGTCTGTCTATCCGTGCGTCCGTCTGTCCATGTATTCTTGTGAACAAATTACAGATCGCATGTATGATCCGATTTAGATGAAATTTGGCACAGCCCATTTATTTCGCTCAAGGACAAACCCTATTGAAATTGGAGAGAATCGGTTCAGATTTACATATAGTTCCCATATATATTTTCGTTCGATTTTACCTACATGGTGCACCAAACACCCAATATTTGTCCGATTGAAACAAAATTTTGTACAGCGCACTAAATTAGGTCCGTATTGATGTATACGAAGTTTTTGTGGAAATCGGTTCAGATAGAGATATAGCTCCCATATATATTTTCGTTCATTTTTATGTAAATGATGCACCAAACTCCCAAGGAGTGTCCGATTGTTACAAAATTTTGCACAACGTATTGGAATAAGTCCATATTGATGTATACGAAGTTTTGTGGAAATCAGTTTATATTCACATATAGCTCCCATATATAGATTCGTCCGATTTTATGTAAATGGTGCACCAAACTCCCGTAGATTGTCCGATCGATACCAAATTTTTCACAGCGTATTAGAGTAAGTCCATATTGATGTGTACGAAGTTTTGTGGAAATCGGTTCAGATTTAGATATAGCTCCCATATATATTTTCGACCGATTTTATGTAAATGGTGCACCAAACTCCCACACATTGTCCGATCGATACCAAATTTTGCACAGCGTACTGAATTATGTCCAGTTTGTTGTCCGTGGTGCACCAAAATCCCAAGGATTCAAACAAAAGTTAGCTTAGCGTACTTAAATGGGTCCATATTGATGTATGCGAAGTATTGGGGAAATCGGTTGAGATTTAGATATAGCTCCCATATATAGTTTGGTCCGATTTTATCTAAATGGTGCACCAAACTCCATATACTTTTCCGATAATAACGAAATTTTGCACTGCGTACTTAATTAAGTCTATGTACGGAGTTATGTCCATATTGATGAATACGATGTTTTGTGGAAATCGGTTCCCATAAATATTTTCGAAACTTATCACACATCATTCAAGGCTCAATTCAGTATGCAAATTTCGTGCAAATCGAAGGGTATATAGGGTCTTTGGTGCACCATTTACAATAAATCGGACGGAAATATATCTACATCGGAACCGATTTTTACGAAACTTAGCAAACGCCATTATTGACTCAATTCAGCACGCTATGCTAAAATTCGTTCCAATCGAAAGAAATATAGGGGCTTTGGTGCACCATTTACATAAAATCGGACGAATATACATATATAGGAGATATATCTAAATCTTAACCGCATAGGCACCAAGGCCAAATATTTTGTGTTTAATGCACCATTTAGATAAAATCGAACGAAAATATATACATGTGAGCTATATCTTAAACATTTGGTGCGTCATTTAGATAAAATCGGACAAAAATATATATATAAGGGAACTATATCTAAATCTGAACCGATTTAAACAAAACATCACATACATCAAACAGAACTTACGCTTCGTAAAATTTTGTCTCAATCGGACAAATATTGGTGTACCATTTACCTAAATCTATATATGGTAACTATAACTAAATTTGAACCGATTTTCTCCAATTTCAATATGTTTCGTGACTTGTGCCAAATCGGATCATAAATGCAACATGCACTTTGTTCACAATTTATCATGGACAGACTGACGGACATGCATAAATCGACTCAAAAAGTGATTCTATGCATATTCTCAAAAGGAACCATGTGTCTATCTCGTTTTCTTATGTCAGTTACAAACATATGCACAAACACATAATACCCTATACCACAGTGTGGTGAGGGATATAAAAATAATCCGTATAACAAATCAAGTCTTCTATTTTTAGAAAAATATATATTTATTATATTAGCGTGGGCTTTGCATTTGATTTCTCAGATACGTTTTTACTCGACGTATTGTAGAAAAACTTCTTTCAGCTGATGCTGTGGTAACCGGTATCGTTATTAAGATTTGTAACAATAGATTTATATTTGGAAATAAATTTACGTCACATACCACATAGTGATCCACAGATCCAATTCAATTTCTACTTCCTATTTACAATTTCGAAAATCTTTTTCATAAAATTGTATGATTTCTTTAAACTCGATATATGGAAATTTTATAATTGTTGTTTTACATAAAGTAGCAGAGCTTTTTGGAGATCTTGGAAAGAATGAGAAAATTTCCGAAATTGTTGAAAATATACTTGGAATTTCGCAAGTCTTCGAAACAGGATTTAAACATAAATTTAAAAAGTGACAGGAACAATAAATGTATATTACAGAAATGGATTTTGATTTAATAATGGCACCTAATTATAATTGCCTAACATGTTAGACGCGCCGTCATATCCTTGACCTGTCAAGAACCTGTTAAGAATTCTTTTCCTGTTAACTCTTCTACTTCCATGTAGCAAAGGAAACATTCTTTGAGTTTTTTTAGATACCCTGTCAAAAAATCTAATACATATTGATAGCTGCTCCTTTATCCGTAATTTCATCCGCTTAAACCGAAAAGAATACAACTCTTTTCAGATCTTCAACAATAGACTTCTGAATTTATTCTCCAATTATTTCCAATAATTCGTTCTGTATTTTGAGACTCAGGTTTAGTTTAAAATCGCTACGACAGTATTCCGGAGGCTTTATGTCTGTCTGTCTGCCCGTCTCTACGTGTGTCTGCTGTAATCAATCTAGCCTCTACACGAATAGAGTCGTATTTTTTATGCAGCCAGTTCCAAGTTCGAAGATGGGATATATCTGTCCACGTTTAGGCATTGCTCCCATATAAAGGTACACCCCCTTAATGTTGGGTTTTTGGGGTTTCTGATTTACACACAATTTGGCCCTGCGTACTGAATTAAGCCTAGAATGATTTGTGCTAAGTTTCCTGAAAATCGGTTCAGATTTAGATATAGCTCCCATATATATTTTCGTCCCATTTAATATAAATGGTGCACCAAAGACATAGCATAGCGTACTGAATTAACTCTAGGATGATGTGTGCTAAGTTTCGTGAAAATTGGTTCAGATTTAAATATAGCTCCCATATATATTTTCGTCCGATTTTAGGTAAATAGTGCACCAAATTCCCTTTATATCCTTCGATTTGTACTGAATTGGGTCTAGAATGATGAGTGGTGAGTTTCGAGAAAATCGGTTCAGATTTAGTTATAGCTCCCATATATATTTTCGTTCGAAAAATTGTGCACAAGGTTGTGAAGTTAGTATATCCTGACGTGTGGCAAGTTTCGTTCAAATATATTCAGATTTGGATATAGCTTCTATATATATGTTCCTCCTATTTTAAGTAAATCATGCACCAAGGACCCAAAATATGGCAAATGTGCAAAAATGTCTACAGAATAGACATAGCATCTTTAAAGGACCATTGAAATGGAATCGGACGACATTACATAGATATACACATACCAATATGAAACAATTGAATGTCAATCATCGAGCAAAATATGTATAAGATCTATATAAAAACGGACGTATTTGATCAACCGTGGCATCCACCATTTGGTATGCTCCCAGTCTCCCTTACTTACGTAAGTTGCTTCTGTTCATTATTGAATACTGTTGCTTTTTATAAAGATATCATCAATATTGATTGGACGTATTTTTATACCCTTCACCACGCTGTGGTACAGGGTATTATGTCTTTGTGCATACGTTTTGTAACAGGCAAAAATAATGAAGATAGATGGTTCCTTTTGAGAATATGTATAGAATCACTTTCTGAGTCGATTTATGTCCGTCCGTCCGTCCGTCTGTCTGTCTGTCCATGTTAAATTGTAAACAAAGTACAGGTCGCATTTATGATCCGAATTGGATAAAATTTGGCATAGGTCACTTATTCGGTCCAAGGACGAACCCTATTGAAATTGGAAAAAATCGGTTCAGATTTAGATATAGCTCCCATATATATGTATATATATATATATATATATTTAACCGATTTAATGTAAACGGTCCCTATATATCTTCCGATTTGCACGAAATTTGGTACAGCCTAATCACTTAGGTCTAGAATGATGTCTGCCAAGTTTCGTGAAAATCGGTCCAGATTTAGATATAGCTCCCATATATAGTTTCGTCCGATTTCATGTAAATGGTGCCCCAAAGTCCCTATATATCTTTCGATTTGCACGAAATTTGGCATAACGTATTGAATTAAGCATAGAGTGATGTCTGCCAAGTTTCGAGAAAATTGGCCCAGATTTAGATATAGCTCCCATATATAGTTTCGTCCGATTTCATGTAAATGCTGCCCCAAGGTCCCTATATATCTTTCGATTTGCACGAAATTTGGAATAACGTATTGAATTAAGCCTAGAGTGATGTCTGCAAAGTTTCGAGAAAATCGGTCCAGATTTAGATATAAACGTATTTACAAATACCTTTCAAAATTTTTTTCCTAGAAATACCAAGGTAAGACAACGTTTAGTGGGCCATCTAGCTAAAAAAAACAAAAATTAGTTCTTTTTCCAACATTTTATTTATTTGTAGATTATGTATCAATAAATTATTGGCAATTTAATTATTTTAATCCACACGTTCCCAGTGATCTTAAACTGCAGAAATAAAGATGAAAATATTGAAATCATTTAGAATTTGTGTTCTCACATATATCACTTGTATAGCAGTTACTTTATATTTTATGACGACATCTTCCAAACATGTACTTCTTTCCAGGTGGACACTGTAACATCATTCCATGTATCATTACAATGGTCAACAATAAGAGATATGAGCTCTTGAACAAATTTCTCACTTACAATTTAAAAATTTTTTTTTAGTCCGCGTATTGGTGTAT